ATGATATCTATTACATCACAGAAATATATGTTAGATATCTCTGTTACAAGCATAGACAACAACACAATATGATGAAAACAACATAACCAAGTTTTAAATTATACAGACATTTTTTTAGGCACAAAGAGAGGGCTCTAAATTTCAATAATTCAGAAACTCAAAGACCATATCAAGGGCCTGCTTTCTATCTTTCCCCTGGGCCAGTGTACTGGCTTTATCCTCAAGCTAGCTAGTATCATGGCTGTAAGATGGCTACAGCTATCCCAAGCTTCACCTTTAGACCCTGGCAGTATGTTTCTTATCCAGTATCTCTCTTAAGAATGAAAAATTCTTTCCCAAAAGTCTCCAAGCATATCTCCCTCCATAGCTCATTGCCATCACATGCCCATGTCTAAATCAGACACTGGAGAGAAGCATGGGACAACTAGGAATGGCCCAGTGCAAGCCCCTTGAGGCCCCCGCTCTCTTAGCTGCTCCGACTAGGAGGCAGTCACCGCACTTCTGTCAGAAAGGAGGAGGGCAGGGGCTGAAATTGGCTAGGTACCTTCCAGGGGCTGAGACAGTGTCCTTCCCTCATGTTTGGACTTGTTTCCAAATAGACTGTAAACTCTCTGGACCATGTTTCAAGTTTCCTATGGCTGAGCCTAGCACATTGCCTTCCATGAAACAGTTACTGCATAAAAATATGTTCAAATGCTAGTTTTATGGAATTCACTACAGCCAGATGAACAAAGCACCTATGGATCATCTGAAGGGCCATCACAGGAATCATTTTCACATACGGAATCTCTTGTTTCAGGATTTACAGTATTAAGAGTCTTCTTTTTAGAGAGATATTCTTCTGTGTGTTCAGGTAAATCATTAGTCACCATAACAAATGAAAAAAAACAAAAAACAAAAAACCCACAAAACCCCTCCTATCTTTGACTTGCCACTTAGAATGACAGCCTTCTGTGGTTCCTTCTCTTTTATGCTGCGCTGAATCTTTCAGTAACATCCCAAGCTAAGCAAGGCTGATAGTCCAAACCAAAGCTTTTAACTTAAGTGGGAACATTCACACGACATCAGGATGATAACTTTGGTCCCCGATATTTTCCCCATTCTTCCTGAAATACTTTATTTTTGATATACTGACTTGAATTTGTGCCTTTATTTTGCTAAATGTCTAAAATTCCATCATTGGAAGCTCATCTCTTTACATTCACAGGCTTATCCCTTTTAATAGGCCCATGGCCATTAGCACATTTAGACAGGAATAGTCATCACCCACTATAGAGGGAATTCATTTGAACTGACGCATTCACTGATTCTTGGTGTTGAAACCTACTTGTCTTGGAGGTCATCTCATAACAAGGTGGAACAGGCAATACTGGAATTTTAATTTGTTAGGAAAGACGAGATACAGCCCTAATATTTAAGCAATTACTTTCAAATCTGGCTGTACATCAGAAATGTTTGAATAATTGCTTTTAAATACTGATCCTGAGCCCCAGTGCCTGAATTTAAATCAAACAGAGGCTCATGAACCAGGACTTAAGGGAGCAAAGCATAGTCATGGTTGGGCAGGTGTAGCTGGAGAGCCATGGGGTGGGGAGTTACTTTATAAGATGGTGGCTTATGGCCATGGAGGTGCTGAGGCAGTTTAGGGTCAGTCCCAGAAATGAGAGATGACCTCAGACTTCCCTTTTAGTCATAAAAGAAAAACTTTCCTACTTTATAATTTTGCTTGGGGTTGTCTTGGGGCAATGGTGAGTTGCAAAGGGATAAGAGGAAAAGGGAAAAAGCATCAAGGCAGTGAAGGCAAAGGGAATAGTCTGGAAAATAACACTAAATATGGTCTGATCAAGTGCAGTCAGAACACAGAAGGGTGTATAGGTGTATCTCCACGGCTTTGGGGCATGTGCATCATGCCCATGCCTATGTGCAGTATGTGTACTTGCGTTGATATGTGTGCATGAGGAGTGTAGCAGAGAAAAAGCCAGAATAGGCAGGACAGACTGCAGCCAGATGGCGAAGGACTTTTTAGGCCAGGCCAAGAAATCTGGACTTCACTCCGACAGGAGATGGAGAGCCACCGAATTTTTGAAGCAAGGGGTTGATTGGATACAAATAAGTGTTTAGAAAGATAATGCTGGTGACCACGAGAAGAATGGAGCAGAGGGATAAGAGATAAAAACAGGAAAACCAGTTTACAGTTGTCCAAACACAAAGAAAGAAAGGGCCTGAACTGGGTGGTGGCAGAAGTTGCATAAGGTGGGGAAGAAGATGGACAGAACTTGGAGATAGGCTGTCAAGCTGAAACAAGGGAGAAGATTTCTGGTTTTCGTGTTTGCATGCGAATGCTGCTGCCCTGTAACCAACAGCAGACAAGACAGGAGAGAATTCTGGAGGGCAGGTGTTTTGACTTCAGTTGAGGACGCACTGAGCTCATGCTTATTGGACATCTGGGTGGAGATGGTAGCGGATGGAAAGACTGATCCGGAACCAGAAGAGGAGTCTGGCTGGGGATTCTGACTTGAGTGGGGAACTGGCCCAGAGAGTACTGGGAGAATGAAGACAATGATCCCAGATGGAAGTCAAAACACCAAGGACTGGGCTAAACAGATGAGCTTGTGAAAGAGAGTGAGGGAGAGGATTTGAAAGTATTCGGTAAAGAGGGGGGACTCTGGGGCAGGGAGAGAAGATGAGGATTATCTGTGGTCTGGCGGCACACTGGGGAATACAAGTGTCACTGTGCACTTTAAAATTACATTTTCCTTTCCGCTATGGACCTATCATTTAGATTATGAATGATCTAGGCCCCTTATGGCCTTTCTCTTCCATCCTTCATCTGCCAGTTACCGTTTCAATGACTGTAAGCACTTAAACCAAGGAGTGATCAATGCAAGGTGATAAACAGGAAACTGAACTTTGAGCACTGCTTTCTCTTAAACACCCATGAGAAGGTTTACAGAAAGTAAATTTGACTCTAAATGTTAAAATGAGATTTGAGGGTTTTAAGTTTCCACAGTGGTTGGCATGTATGCTGGACAGGATGTGAGACGTATAAACACACATACATACACATATGCTTTTTACATTCTCATTTTTGGTATTTATATTTGTAATATTTATATTACACAGTTGTACTTGTATATAATTTATAAACACTTATATATGTATGTGTATAGTAATGATGAATACTCAAAAATTTTACATACGTAGGGTAATGCCAAAAAACTTCAGCTATCACTGACCTCGAGATTTAATTATTCTTTGTGAATTTGGGATATTCATGGTATCAGAAAGTGATGTTGCTTCTCTGGGAACCTGGATCGATATCATAAATGACCAAGCTTGATTATGATCATCCTGAATTTAGAGAAAATTTGTTTCTTGAGTATGCAAATAACTGGAACAGAAGGAAGGAATAAATATTAAAAAATCATTTTTACAGATGTCATTTTAAATCGCCTCTGCTTGCTTGCACTGATTTGTCCTTATTAACTACCTCCAGGTTAAAAACCTCTATACCTGACTTCATGCCTTGCAGCAACACATTCCACTAAAGTATTTCTCACTGCTCTTTAAAAAACAAGCCTCAACACTTCAAAGATAAGAAAATGATGTTATGTTTCCATTGCTTCTGTTAATAATGGGTAATTAAAGAGAGATGTAAACCTTGGATTTAAATGTCTATTAGTTCTTGGGAAGGTCGTGGTGTTCCAGGGACTGATTTTCAACGTGAATCCAACTTTATCTGAAACCCCTAGATTAGGGTTGATGGTCCCTCAAAACACTCTTTGGGTACCAGCACAGAATATCCACGAAGCACCACACAAAGGGTTGGACAGAAAACCTAATGATGCCTAGTTTCTGCTGGGGTTGGGGATAGTGGTGCTATTTCTCTATTATCTCAGACTGGGAGAAAATGCTACAGGGTTATCTGGATTAGGTTTCTTCCATAATAAAGAATAACCTGGCTAAATGCCTCAAAGGGGGATAGGAAATATTTATATGTATTAGGAAATATTTATATTCTTTGTAAAAACACTTGAAAATCAGAGACCATTTTTTTGTTTTGATAGCTGTTCAAACTACAAAATACAAATGTGGCCCCCTTCCTCCCAGTAAACTAAAGTTCTTACAGTAAGCACACACTAGGCTCTGGAAGAGGTCTGGAGAAGGTACACTTGATGGATGCGGGTCGCACAACTTAGTGCAGAAGGCGATGGGTGGGCCTCACTCTCACCGCCCTGCAGTTGGAGCTACCGCTTTAGTTAATTCTCTTGCTGGCAGCGGCTATGATCAAGAAAGTAAAAAGAACTTTTCCTGGCCTAAGTTTATATTAAGTTGAACAGAAACGTTACAACAATTAGAGGAAGGCAGAAGGGAAGGAAGAATTCCCTTGGAAGGAAGAATTCCCTTCTGCCGAGTATTTAAGAGGCACTAGGTTTTTCTATGTCCTCTAAGGTTAGAGACATCCGTGCTGCAGCCTGAAGACATGGAAGCATAATTCACACCCTCGGGTTGAAAAACAAGCATTTCGGGCTCCCAGGCTCCTGCAAAGCCACCGGGTATGGCGCTGAGGTGGTGCATGCTGCTTCCCAGAACCGGATTCCCGGGACCCGAAGAACCCTCTGGTGTGGGTCCCGGGCGGCACCTGCTGTCTAAGCCGGGCTGCAGGACTCGCCATCTTCAGGACACCCCTTAGTCTCCACTCCCTCTGTGCATGTGTGTGCGTGCGCCTGTGTCTAAAACCAAAGCGCGCAGGAGCTGACTTTGAAGGGTGCTTCACAGACAGGGTGAGACACGCCTTATGGGGACACCAGGCGGGGGAGAGAGGGAATGTGGGGAGTCTCTCTCTATCCGGCTCTGGATGGCTGGGAGCCTAGGTCCACGTGGAATCCGAGCAGAGAGGCGCGCTGCCTGCCCCCTCATCCCGCAGAACTCCTCCCTCCTGCCCCAGGGACCCGCGCAGGTCCCTCCGGCAGCTGATGGAGAGCGAACTCCTCGCTTACCTTGACTGAGCACTAACACCAGCCGCAACGGCGCGCCCCCTGTCCGTCCTGGACGCATCCTGAGCCTGCGGGGGGACGGTAGCTGCTCTCGGTTTGCGGAGGGACTCCAGAACACGGACTCCAGAAGCCGTCCTGAGAGCTTCTCTCGCCCGCCGGGGTGAGGGCAGGGAAAAGTTGCCTGGCAGCTCCTGGGACGCCAAGGCCCGCCCCGGCCCGCCCCTCGGCCACGGCAAACACCGGATCTGCCCCGGCCCCGCCCCACCGAGCCCAGTTCCTGCGGCCCCGCGGGCACCTGCGCTCAACCACACCCCTGGAAACCACACCTTAACTCCCCCGCGCGGTTCCGGCCCGGGCCTGGGGGAACCCGGAGGCCGCGGGGCTGGGGTCCGCGAGCCTGGCCTTTTTCCTGCCCTGCACCAGACTGGCCGGGCACATCCGACGGGCGGGAGCCGGCCTGTCACTACCCCGCCCCTCTCGGCCGGCCTGCCGCCCGCCCGCCCGCAGGAAACCCGGGTCCCCCGGAGAACCTTGGCCCTTCTGCAGCCCTTCGTGGCTCCAGGCTCCAAGCCTAGGTGGAAGGGGCGGGGGGGGGAGGGTTGGGGGCGCCGCAAGCCCAAAGCCACGCTTTTACGGGTGGCTCCGTGCGTGGCTCTCTCTGCTTTTCTCAAGTGGGTGGAGAAACGGACAAAAATAAGTGCAGAATGACCAGGTTAGAAACTAACTCGACAGGAAAGAAGATCTGCTCACAAGTTATGATTATCCGAGGTATATTTAAGCAAGACCTGTTGCAAAAGCACCGTGTGTGTGTGCGTGTGTGTGTGTGTGATAAATCCTCATTCATTCCTCTCCTCCAAGATACTAAGCAGCTGATTTGATTACTAAGTTTAAGCGATTTACTTCAAGACACAGAGACGAGTGAGAACCCATATATGAACTTGTGACTCTTCCTTTTTGTATTACACCATGACCATTTTATTGCATTATTTGAGTTTCAGATCTGGAAAAAAGGACATTCTGTAACCATATCTGAGATTTTTACTTACCAACCTAAGAAATAGGATATTCTCTTTTCTTTTTTTTTTTAATTTTTATTTATTTATTTGACAGAGAGACACAGTGAGAGAGGGAACACAAGCAGGGGGAGTGGGAGAGAGAGAAGCAGGCTTCCCGCCGAGCAGGGAGCCCGATGTGGGGCTCGATCCCAGGACCCTGGGATCATGACCTGAGCTGAAGGCAGACGCTTAACGACTGAGCCACCCCGGTGCCCCAGGATATTCTCTTTTCTTTAAATCTGATTTTTCCTCCAAAAGTTCACCCACAAATTCCCAGCACATTGCTGAAACCAGAATTCTTCCAGTGACCACTTTTATGAAATAATCCAATGTTTTAATAAATTAAACTTAAGGAACTATTAGACTAATCATTATTATTATCACCATTCCAAATATTTATGGAGCAGCTAGTATGAGCACTATGGAATATTTGGGATACTGCCACTCAAGTAAAGTGGTTCATGGTGGAAGGACTTAATTAATTGGTAAAAATCAAATGCTCTCCTTTACCATAGCTGAGGCTGGAGTCTTAAAGCACTAAATTGATATTCACCAGATGTTACTGCTTTGCACCATGACTATAAACTCAATACCTTTGAATTCAAAATGGATAGCCCCTGGTTCTTTCCTGTGTTCTTAATCTGTCCCTTACTAATTCTACTTACTAATCCTGACAAACACTTGAAGGAATTTTTTTTTTTGACCTGTCTATGATACTCACCTGCTTACTAAGACTCCAGATATCACCTGAGAGCTCTTAGGTGGCCATTCACTAACCCTGACACCAACTTAGCCTCTCCTCACAGCCTTCTTGCAGGAAGTCAGCCAGGTTTCAGGGAGATGAATATCTGTCTGTTTCCTTCTGACTCACTGAAATGTGAGTAAGTGTTTGGAACTGACCCTTGTTTGGGAGGCAGTATAGCTCCCTTCATGTGAGACAGGAATCTGTGTTTTGTCTCTGGGTGCTGGAGAGGAAAATGCACCCTTCTTTGCTTTTGTGCTCAGAACTGGACAAATTAACATTATGCTGGCATGAGGTACAGAATAAATCAGGAGCTATATTTTTCCAGAGCAGGCAAAAATTTCAAAGTTCAAGAAACAAAGAATCGACTCCTGCCCCACATTAATTTTAAAAGTAGAAAGGGTTCTTGAGACCAAACAGTTTGAGAACTCATGCCTTAATCTTCCTGGGAATTATTCTGCTTAGGTATAACTGTGCTGGACACCACATCCTGAGGAAATAAGATTAAGGCAGGGCTTTTTAAATCTTTGGTCTCAAGGAGGCCTTTACACTTAAAATTATTGAGAATCTCTCAGATGAATGGATAAAAAGATGGTGAAATATTGTATATATTTTCTAACACTTCCAAAGTCCTTTATTGGGCCAACAAGGCTGGGAGCTGCTCTTGGAGTGGGGTCCCAGTCCCAGGCTGGATTTTCCAGGTCTATGGTGCCTCTGCCTCTGTTCCTAACTGGGGCAGGTGGCCTCCTCTGACAGGCTACTTGGTTTGCTCCATCAGGTATCCCCGGACCTCCTTGGAGTACCCCTGGACCTTGGACGGGGCCACCGAGAGAGCCAACATCAGCATAATGATGCCTGAATTCCAGGACTTGCAGATGTGAGAGTTAAACTTTGGAGGGACTGGGAGCTGGGGTATCTTCAGACTGGTCTGCTCACACATGTACTGGCTGAACTGGTCCATGGCTGAGGGGTGGGGGGGGGCTACCTCCTCAGACTTCTGAAGGGCAGTCTGGCTCTTGCCACTAGGCCCCAGCAGCTCCTGGTCATACACCAGGTAGATGGTGCCCCCAGCCATACTGCCCTTGATGAGGAACCTCCTCAGCAACCATGCTTGGGGCACTGTGGTCGCTCAGCTCTGTGTGCAAGGAACAAGATGATGGAATATTATTCAGTCATAAAAAAGAAGGAAATCTTACCATTTGCAATGACATGGATGAACCTGGAGGACATTATGTTAAGTGAAATAAGCCAGAGAAAGACAAATACTGTATGATCTCACATGTGGAATCTAAAAAAGCCAACTCATTGTATAGAGACTAGAATGGTGGTTACCAGAGGCTAGAGGTGAGGAAAATGGGGAGATGTTGGTCAAAGGGTACAAACTTTTAGTTATAAGATGAATAAATCCTGGGTGTTTAGTGTACAGCATGGTGACTATGGTTAATAATATTGTATATTTGACATTTGCTAAGAGAGGTCTTAAGTGCTCTCACAACAAAAACAAAAAATGGTAACTGTATGAAGTGATGGATATGTTAATTATCTTGATTGTGATAATCAGATCACAATGTATATATATATATCAAAACCTAATGATGTACACCTTATATATATATACAAATTGTAATTGTCCATTATACCTTATTAAAACTGGAAAAAATATGGAGGATCCCAAAGAACTTTTGTTTATGTGGATTATTTCTACCCGTGTTTATCATGTAAGAAATTGAAACAGATACATTTTCTTTTTTTTTTTTTAAGATTTTATTTATTTATTTGACAGAGAGAGAGATAGCAAGAGCAGGAACACAAGCAGGGGGAGTGGGAGAGGGAGAAGCAGGCTTCCCGCTGAGCAGGGAGCCCGATGTGGGACTCGATCCCAGGACCCTGGGATCATGACCTGAGCCGAAGGCAGACGCTTAACGACTGAGCCACCCAGGCGCCCGAAACAGATACATTTTCTAATATTTATATATTAATTCAACAATAAGGCTCTTATGTGTTAATGTAAATACAAAAAGTGTACAAAAAATAGCTATATTTCCCCAAATAAAGAAAATCATGAGAAGAATGGCATTGTCTTACAATTTTGCCAATCTTTTTAATGTCTGGCTTAAAAAATAAACACTTGATTTCTCATATCTGCTCCTGCATTCAATCTCTTGGGATAGGTAGTTTCAGTGAAATTATATTAATTTGGAATTAATCTGGTAGTTAGAAAAAACAGGACACAATTGTGGATATTCCTGATACTGCCCCCAAACTCAAAAAGTGGTAGTTTCTTAAAGACTAGTTCCAATGGGGAATCTGAAACCACATCAATAAACTTTTCTTATCCTAGTGTTGATTTGCAACCTTGGGAGTTCCTGGGGTTGAAATCTGAAACTGGCCTTCACACATGGAGGGCAAGGAGAGAGAGGAGAAAGAGGCAGACCTCTTCCTATTGGGGGGTTGCAGTTTTAATAAGCAAGGGAATTTATATTCTAGGTTTGTCTGGAGTGGCCACAAGATGAGTGAATTTCCACACTGCTGCCAGAATCTCAAGTTTATGTAGAGCCCTTAACAGGCAGGGTTCAGTCATATATACAGTTCAGATAGTCTCAATAACATATTACTTTCTCAAAGCTGTGTCCCTGAAGTGGCTACTAATGTGGGAACAGTAGGCAGAACCTACATTTCAAGGACAGGGGAGGAGATAAGGAGCTTCCAATTACCCAGGTCCAAATTGAAGGCCAACCAGCTGTCACATCCTCCTGATAACCTCCTCCAACATGTTGTGCATTAAAATTCATTGGTCTATCGAGCACTTTGAGTAGATCTTTCACCCACACAAAGTTTTGTCGCATCATATATTGATCATTTGGAAAATATTGGTTCACTGAGTTATGCAGATTTTCTAATTGTTGACACATTTCAGTACACAATATCAAAAAAATCATATCATCACCTATCTCATCAGAAAAGTCTTTATATATTGGGAAGCTGTCAAGCTCATGCTGGCATATACACATTTTCCAAAATTTCAATTTTAATTTGAAAACTTGAATTTTATCATTGGCAGCACATACTATCAGTTGTTCTATGTGAAATGAAAGGCCCACTTCATTCATTTTTGAGAAATTTCTATACAATACCCAAGACTGAATAATCATAGTTTGTCTATCAATTGTTCTTTCAAGTAAAACTGGTGTTCCATGAAAAACGTGGCTAGTTCAGTTTATGGATCCTTGAGACAACCATCCTATTTCAGTGTGCAACACAAATGCTTTATGTGTATTACCAGGTTTACTCATGAAAAATATTTAAAAGACATGTACTGAAGAGTTGAGATTTAATAAAGGTAGTTAATTTTTCCTGCTTTGTTAAGGACATTCTCTCTCTCTCTCTTTTTAAGAGATTTGACAGAGAGAGAATGCGTGAGAGCACAAATTGGGAGGAGTGTGTTTCAGGGCAGAGGGAGAAGGAGAGATAGAATCCCAAGCAGGCTCCAAGCTCAGCATGGAGCCCAATGTGGGGCATGATCTCATGACCCTGAGATCATGACCTGAGCCAAACTCAAGAGTTGGACGCTTAACTGACTGAGCCTCCCAGGTGCCCTGTCAAGGACATTCTTAAGTAAAACTATCTTTCTCCTCCCTCCCTCCCTTCTTCCCTCCTTCTTTCCTCCTTCCTGGTTTCTTCTCTCCCTCCCTCCTCCCCTCCCCTCCTCTGTCCTCTTCTCCCATACTTCCTCCTTCCTTTCTCTCCACTGCTCCCCTTGCCCTCTCCCTCTCATTTTTTCTCTATGAGTATCCAGTGGTGATGAATGCAGTGATTACTCTTACTGATCATTGTTCTTGCACCATAGAGCAAATGCAAACACAGTGAAAAATGCAAATAATGTCTCAATATTAGTATGAAAATATTTTTGATCTACCAACCACAAAAAGATCTTGAGACACCCAGGGGCCACATTCTGAGAATACTATGGGTTGGAGTGAGGCCTCTCCATTCTTCTCTTTCTAACTCTAGGCTGGAGTTTTTTAGGTAGGAGGCTCAGATGAATTTTCCCCAGCGTTCTCTCTGACCTCTTTGTATCTTTAAATCCAGCTCTTTGTTTATCTCATTCCCCCATGTACAATCACCTAAACTAGGATCCTCTGCTTTCCATCCTCAGGGCTACCACCAGTCCCCCCTGCCACCACACCATATCAATTTTGTCCTTATCCCAACAGAATAGAGAGCCCAGAAATGGACCCTCAACTCTATGGTCAACTCATCTTCGACAAAGCAGGAAAGAGTGTCCAATGGAAAAAAGACAGTCTCTTCAACAAATGGTGCTGGGAAAATTGGACATCCACATGCAGAAGAATGAAACTGGACCATTTCCTTACACCACACACAAAAATAGACTCAAGATGGGTGAAAGACCTAAATGTGAGACAGGAATCCATCAAAATCCCAGAGGAGAACAAGCAGCAACCTCTTCGACCTCAGCTGCAGCAACTTCTTCCTAGAAACATCGCCAAAGGCAAGGGAAGCAAGGGCAAAAATGAACTATTGGGACCTCATCAAGATAAAAAGCTTTTGCACAGCAAAGGAAACAGTCAACAAAACCAAAAGACAACCGACAGAAAGGGAGAAGATATTTGCAAATGACATATCAGAT